GGGGGGGGGGGGGGGGGTTTGGCGGCCTGGCCTGAGTTTCAAGGTATAGGCTGCTCTATACAGACAGGCTCTACAGTCTACACTCTACAGGCAGTATACATTATACCAGTTCCTAGGCAGTTAGAAGGAGACAGCTATAACTCAATACTCTGAAAAGTACTTTTAACATGTGCAATATCATGTGTGTCTTTAATATGCTTTGCTTAGATTACTCTTAGTAGTTTTCCACATGTCATTGAGGATGTACTTGTTAATTCCTGGTGATCACATTATTTATGGCACATTCTTTATATTGGGGAAATGGGAGGGGGCTATAACAAACCAGGATTTGTTTTCATATGTTTGTGGTCAATTTTGTGATTTGTTATTTTAGTTTGCACAGGTTAATTTGTGAGGTTAGTTTGTTAGGTTAGTTTGTTAGGTTAGTTTGTTAGGTTAGTTTGTTAGGTTAGTTTGTTAGGTTAGTTTGTTAGGTTAGTTTGTTTGGTTAATTTGTCAGGATACTTTGTTAGGTTAGTTTGTCAGGATAGCTTGTCAGGATAGCTTGTCAGGATAGCTTGTCAGGATAGCTTGTCAGGATAGCTTGTCAGGATAGCTTGTCAGGATAGCTTGTCAGGATAGCTTGTCAGGATAGCTTGTCAGGATAGCTTGTCAGGTTAGTTTGTCAGGTTAGTTTGTCAGGTTAGTTTGTCAGGTTAGTTTGTCAGGTTAGTTTGTCAGGTTAGTTTGTCAGGTTAGTTTGTCAGGTTAGTTTGTCAGGTTAGCTTGTCAGGATAGCTTGTCAGGATAGCTTGTCAGGATAGCTTGTCAGGTTAGTTTGTCAGGTTAGCTTGACAGGATAGCTTGACAGGATAGCTGGACAGGTTAGTTTGTCTGGTTAGTTTGTCTGATTAGTTTGTCTGGTTAGTTTGTCTGGTTAGTTTGTCAGGTCAGTTTGTCAGGTCTGTTTGTCAGGTTAGTTTGCCAGGTTAGTGGTTAGGTTAGTTTGATTGACAACATATATTGCATAAATTCATTTTTTCCCTTTGTAATGTCAAGATTTAGAACTTCAATGCTTTTGCAAATGTAGGTAAATTTGAAGTAAACACCTACTCCATAACAAGTTCTTGAAAGTATCTATCCAGGTTCAACCCATCCGTTATTAAAGTCAACCAGGACACAACCCACGTAGCACTAAATGCCACACATGAACACAAGCATAGCTATCCAAAAAGCTATCAATTCAGTGCTCTAAATACCACACAGGGACACAAGTCTAGCTATCAACAAGCTGTATATATTGATCCCCAATGATGGGGCAGCTCCGACCCGTGCTATCAAAACAAGATTTCAGGATTACTCTCTCGCAGTGAACAGTAGGGAGTTACTCAAAAACTAACTTTATTAAATATCTTTACTTACAAGTTTATGTGAATTGATGTAATTACAATTCCTATGTCGTTGTCTGTATCACATGATGGAGACAATCATGTTATGTATTTACCGCACAGTTAAAAGTTTAATGTATGTATTTATAAGATTAGCAAGAATAGATATATTGTAGTTAAGTTATCTCCACCTATGTTTGCAGCGTAATTTAAGTATATCACAGGATTCTAATTCTGCTAGGTATTCAATTGAAACGCAGTTTCAATGATTAATGTCATTATGTATAACTATACAATACAAATTGTTAATAATGTACAACGTACTGCAGGTTTACAGGATATCATGTTTACACGATATTTGCTACAAATTTGTCATTGGAAATGCCATTTATTTTCGATTTTCTTGGATGAAATGATCGTTTAATTTAAAATCAAATTTGTTCTTTGGATTTGTCTTATCTTAGTTTTTATTATAAAAAGTTTAATTAGATATATCTTAGTAATTAATACAATTAAAGTTTCGTTTATTGCAAAGCATGTTTCTCGGTTTCGTTCTCAATGTACTATCTTAAGTTTCATTCTCTAGAACACGATAGGGGTCATTGCGTTTGAACGTGCAATCAAACTTGATTTTCTTGAAATAAAGAAAGTGGGGGGGGGGGGGGATTCATGAATACCATGGTTTATAAGATAAAACTTGCACGTAGTGGAATAATTGATATTGAAGATTGAACCAAAATATCAGAGTAAATTAATGGAATATTGAATTTAGTTTCAAAACGTCATGAAAGCTGAAAAAATTGAACCTTAAAAGCAATGAGACTCGAGGGGCCCAAAAATATCGGAAAAGGGGGATATGCTTCAAAATAAAGGGGCCCAGGAGGGAAGGAGGGAGGGGGGATATAATATGATAAGATTTAAGAGAAATAGACCGGCTAAATCTCAGAATTGTTTTTATGTTGTTAGTGTCTTAGAAACTTTGAGAGGGGAATATAGAACAATTACTTGATGTAAATACTAGAATCAGAAAGGTGTGAACCCCCCCCCCCCCCCCCTATCATCCTGTTAAGATATAGTCCCTGAGTATCGGAAGATACCGCTTTCTTTTCTGCTTACAGCTTTCTCCTTTCTACTGATCAGTGTTTCAGTGAACCCTGAGTATACTCCCGTCTAGTCCTGGAGTATACAATACTCTCGTCTAGTCCTGAAGTATAATATACTCCCATCTAGTCCTGAAATATACAATACTCCCGTCTAATCCTGGAGTATACAATACTCCAGTCTAGTCCTGGAGTATACAATACTCCCGTCTAGTCCTGGAGTATAATATACTCTCGTCTAGTCCTGGAGTATATACTTCCGTTCAGTCCTGGAGTATACAATACTCCCGTCTAGTCCTGGAGTATAAAATACTCCCGTCTAGTCCTGGAGTATACAATACTCCCGTCTAGTCCTGGAGTAAAATATACTCCCGTCTAGTCCTGGAGTATACAATACTCCCGTCTAGTCCTGAAGTATAATATACTCCCGTTTAGTCCTGGAGTATAATTTAATCCCGTCTAGTCCTAGAGTATACAATACTCCCGTCTAGTCCTAGATATAATATACTCCCGTCTAGTCCTAGAGTATAATATACTCCCGTCTAGTCCTAGAGTATAATATACTCCCGTCTAGTCCTAGAGTATACAATACTCCCGTCTGTCCTGGAGTATAATATACTCCTGTCTAGTCCTGTAGTATAATATACTCCTGTCTAGTCCTGGAGTATAATATACTCCCGTCTAGTCCTAGAGTATACAATACTCCTGTCTAGTCCTGGAGTATAATATACTCCTGTCTAGTCCTAGAGTATAATACTCCCGTCTGGTCCTGGAGTATAATATACTCCCGTCTAGTCCTGGAGTATATGATACTCCCGTCTAGTCCTAGAGTATACAATACTCCCGTCTAGTCCTGGAGTATACAATACTCCCGTATAGTCCTGGAGTAATAATACTCCCGTCTAGTCCTGGAGTAATGATACTCCTGTCTAGTCCTTTGTATCTAATCTAAACTATATGAATCTGGATTGATCTAGAATTCTAGAACTGTGACGAATACTAAAATTTTTAAAAAAAATGGGGTTTGAACAATGAATTTGTATTTCCCACTGATAAGCTGGGAAAGGTAGTTATTTTGTTTGTAACAGTTCTAAGCGGGAGGGAGGGAGGGGACCTTTCATTAAAACGAGAAACCCTAAAAATTCTGGTTTGGACCGGATTTTTCTTATAACCTGTTCTTAGAGGTTCCGAGAATCAAATTTTCGGTAAAACAAATGATATCTACATTTGCAGAATATCACGAACACCCTCCCCCCCTATTTGGTCCCTCCTTTAGCCCAAATGTTAGATACAGAATAGAAAATCAAGACGTACTTTAGTTTTAGTCCACTGTAGGAACTGTAGACTGGTTTTTGTTTATATCAATGTCAGGTGTAAATCCAATTAAACAATTCCGGTTTCGACATTGTATTTATTTTTTAAATTAGCTTCAGTTCAGTCAGTATCACTAGTCAGAGTAATGAATAAATCTTTGACATTTTTTCATCAAGTTTAGTTAGTATCGTTAATGGTCCCTCTGAAGTCTTACTCAATATTTCATTAATCTTTAATGTCGTATTATTTTTTTATTATTCAGTTATTTAATTGATTTTACTTCTTGTTACAGAAATGGAATAACACTTTCCAATTGTTAAAATATTTTTAGCTTTTTATTTATTTTGTTTCAGACTAAGTATGGCAAGTAGCTTGCTGAAGGTCCTTGGATCTGGCCGGCGCGCTGGAGGCTCTCTTCTTGAACAGGCGCAGCGCACTGTTGCCGTCAATAGCCAGGTATAGGGATCTTCTTGGGAAACATATATGGCATTTTAAAGATGGACATTTCATATATGACATTTTATAAAAGGAGATTTCATAAAGAAGGCTTTTCATAAAGGAGACATTTCATAGATAGGAGGTTGCATAGGTGGACATTTCTTAGATGGACATTTCATAGATGGACATTTCATAGATGGAAATTTCATAGATGGACATTTCATAGATGGACATTTCATAGATGGACATTTCATAGATGGACATTTCATAGATGGACATTTCATAGATGGACATTTCATAGACAAGATGGACATTTCATAGATGGACATTTCATAGATGGATTGATTACCACGTATAAATCCAGAAAATATAGAAGATGTTTTTTTTTAAATTTAACAAACCTTTTTTTAGTTCCACAGTTCTCCTGTGGTTCAAGGTTCTCTCGAGATCCCTGAACGTCTCCGTCATATCCCTGAGGCGGAGGACCCCGGCTTCTTTGAGATGGTGGAGTACTTCTTCCACAAGAGCTGCGTTCTCATTGAAGACAGACTCGTTGATGTCACCATGAAAAATATTCGTGCCACCAGGTAAAAATTGCGCCAAAATTAGATAAGTTCCAGATCCGAACAGTGGCATTGCGCGTCGAGTTCTTCTTAGTTTTTTTTACCTTCCAGTTTCGGCTGAATAGTTTCCTAAATTATATTTTTGAAAATGGCACACTTAATCAGCTACATACATTTCTTTGAACAGCTGAAAATCTGGATCAGCTGATATTACTTAAAAACAGCTTATATTTTGATCGCTGGCTATTCCCGGAATATCTAAAATTCCTTTGAATAGCTCACTTTACCCTGCTAGCTCTTGTCAGCAAAAATTCTTCATGAACAGATGACATATGCCACGTGACTGCTTACAGCTGATTTATTCCTTTCGCACTGTAGACTTTAAAGCTTTGTTTGAAAAAATTAGCATTTGTCATTATTGGCATTTTCCTCACAAGTACAACTGACATTTCTTTTATTAACTAAACAGCTGACATTTCCCTTATTATCTTTACAACTGATATGTTATAAACTTACAGCTGACATTTACATCATTAAAATTGAAATTTGCTTAACCCTTGGTATTTTTGATATTTGCGTAACACAGCTGAAGCATTACTTTACTTATAAGACATTTTCCTTAATCTAATAAAATTGACATTTTTCTTTTCGCATGTCATTGACATTTTTCTTTTACACATGACATTTTCCTTTGCGATCTTCTGACATAATTAAACTTTCTTTTATTCAGCTGACATTTTCCTTATAAAGCTGACGAAGCTGATTTCTTGAACCGAATAGTTTATGCTCTCTAGACTTGATCTTCTCCTTCTTCTCCTTGTCCTTCTTCTCCTTCTTCGTCCTTCTTCTTCTCTTTGTTCTTCTTCTCCTTCATCTCCTTGTCTTTCTTCTTCTTCATCTCCTTATCCTTCTTCTCCTCTTCCTCCACTTGACTTTAGATTTTTTTCTCAAAGCAATAACTATTTAGGATTATTTTTCATCAAAATTGCATTTTTTGTTTTTCTAACTTAATGGGTTTAAAAATAAGACTGTAAACAAATGAACAAAGCCTGGCTTTCCTTTGAAAAACATGTGCCTTAATTCATGAAAACAAAATGCGTTTTAAAAAAATTATTTTAACAATTATTTCCAATATCTGCATCGTTCTTTTAATCCAAATCAAGTTTATCAAGTTTGGAATTTTTTTATCAATTATCGGGATTGAAAGTTTAAAATACTCAAATCTATTATTTTTATTTCAATACATTTACATTTAAGAGTGGTATTTAGGAAAGATTTGTACGACAAATAAATCTGAATAATTTATATACGTCTTAAGTAAAAACACGTATTCTGTCGCTTTAATGAAATCAGTCTTGAGAAAAAATTTTCAAATCTGATATTGATTTAAAAAATTAGTCCAAAACGGAAAATAAAATGGTTTTTAAATTATCGACTTCTGAAAAATATCTTTACATATTTTCAGGTACCAATATACATTCTTAATTCCTACATCTTATTTTTTCTGCGTTGATCAGTTAATACGATTAAAAATGTTAAAATTTACTTAACGAAACAAAAAAGACAACTATCCCACAGTTTGTTGGCTAGCACTAAAGAATATTTAAATTTATGAAAAAATCCGAAATTTCACAAATATGGGTTTGATTATCTATATTTTTTAGGGAGGACAAGATGAAAAAGGCTCATGGTATCCTCAAGATTATTGAACCCTGCGCGCACGTGCTTGAGGTCAACTTCCCCCTTCTCCGTGATGACGGGGAGTACGAGATGATTACAGGATACAGGGCTCAGCACTCCCATCACAGGTAGAGGAAAAGATTGTTAAATGTCGTCTTTTATCTACGCGGCTTTTTATTTCGGACAGAAGTCAGATTCTTACATAGTAAAAAGACGATAATTTGGGAAGTTTTTAAAAATGTAAGAATGATTAAATTAAACACTTAAAGAGGGGGATTTTGTAGTTTATATTATTATATGTTATTGATTGGTATGCATTAAACGATAATTTATGCAAAAACTGACTTATTCAATTATTCTCTTTTTATGCAATTAGATTTTTCAATGTCTGTACTTCAACTTTTTCAGATTTATACGTATTTTAAGCTTTCATCGCTTCTTATTGAGCATTTCTAAGTTTTCAGGATTCATTTAAGTAATTAATTTCATTTATACAACCATTTTTCTTATTGCTCGTCTATTTTGAAATGTAAATCAAATTTCAAACTTTTGTGCGAGTTTTTAAAATGATATTGATGTTTAAATCTTATTAAGATATATTTTAGGACTCCTTGCAAAGGAGGTATCAGGTACTCAATGGATGTCTGCGCTGATGAGGTCAAGGCCCTCTCAGCTCTGATGACCTACAAGTGCGCCTGTGTCGATGTCCCCTTCGGTGGCGGAAAAGCCGGTGTCAAGATCAACCCCAAGCTGTACAGCGACAACGAGCTGGAGAGGATCACCAGGAGGTTCGCCATCGAGCTCGCCAAGAAGGGATTCCTTGGACCCGGCATTGACGTGCCTGCCCCTGACATGGGAACTGGAGAGAGAGAAATGGCCTGGATCGCTGATACCTACGCCAACACTATTGGATACACAAACCTCAACGCTTCCGCCTGTATTACAGGGAAACCTATTAATCAGGGCGGAATCCACGGCAGAACCTCCGCCACCGGAAGAGGAGTCTTCCACGGCCTTGAAAACTTCATCCAAGAGGCCTCCTATATGTCCATGATCGGACAAACCCCTGGATGGGGCGGTAAAACCTTTATTGTCCAAGGATTCGGAAATGTCGGTCTCCATACCTGCAGGTACCTCACCCGTGCCGGAGCCAAGTGCGTTGGAGTCGCTGAGTGGGACGGATCCATCTACAACCCTGACGGTATCGACCCCAAGGAGCTTGAGGAGTACATGATCGAGCACAGAACAGTTGTTGGGTTCCCTGGGGCCAAGGCCTACACTGGTGAGAGCCTGCTGTTCGAGGAGTGCGACATCCTCATCCCCGCCGCCATGGAGAAGGTTATCCACGGTGGAAACGCCGATAAGGTCAAGGCCAAGATCATCGCCGAGGCCGCCAACGGTCCCATCACCCCCGCCGGAGACAAGATTCTCCAGGCCAAGAACGTTCTCATCATCCCCGACATGTACATCAACGCCGGTGGTGTGACCGTCTCCTACTTTGAGTGGTTGAAGAATCTCAACCACGTCTCCTACGGTCGTCTGACCTTTAAGTATGAGAGAGAGTCCAACTATCATCTTCTCCAGTCCGTCCAGGACTCCCTGGAGAGAAGGTTTGGTAAGGTTGGAGGAGGTATTCCCGTCCTACCCAACCAGAACTTTAACTCTCGTATGTCCGGGGCATCAGAGAAGGATATCGTCCACTCTGGGTTGGATTACTCTATGGAGAGGACTGCCAGGAATATCATGAAGACTGCAGAAGAAATGAATCTTGGAATTGATCTGAGGTAAACTTCATATATTTATAAATAGATTTTCAAACCATGTATTTTGTGATGTATAAGAAAATTCCATGGATTTTCTAGATATATATCATGTTTATTTTCCATCAATAACAAATTGCTTTGTAAAATTTACATTTTACTTACAGTAATGAATCTACGTGGTGGGACTTTTCCAACCATATTTACACTTTTAAATTTTAAGAATAATATTTTTTTCCTATATTTTCCCGTAATTTGTCCTGTATAAAGCAATTATAATTTTCCTCCTTTTACAGAATGATAAAAAGTTCAAGAAAACGTCATGTTTTCTCTGAAGTTTCCGTTCTTTTTATTCAATTAAATATATTCGTATTCTTAATCTCCATTGATTAGGTTATTTGGATCTTCTAAGTTTTAGTTTTTAAGTTAAACGAGGTTTTATCAAAGCTTTATGAGATTCTCACAACGTTTTATAAAAATTTTATCAAAGATTATTAAGAATCTATCAAAGTTAAGTTAAGTTAGATTTTCAAAGTTTTATGGGATTCTTTCAAAGTTTAAAGAGATTAACAATAACCACAGATTCTATCATGACCCATGGGTTTATGAAATTCTATCAAAGTTATATCACATTCTATCAAAGTTTTAAGAAATTCTCTAAGCTTAATGAAATGCTATCAAAGTTTAATGAGATTTTTTTAAGTTCTGAAAGATTTTTTAAGTTTTCTGAAATTTGATCAAAGTTATGACATACTATCAAAGTTTTGAGAGATTCTATAGCGAATCCCAGATATATGAATACATAGCAAGAAATTGTTATAATGTCGTATTCTCAACATATTTAAAAATTAAATGCCGCGGAAAAACATCAATTGCAGTCCTTTATATTTCAGGGCTATTACTTCACCTTGAATTAAAAATAAAAAAGCAGTTTCTTAATTATCAAAATACCTAGGACTCTACAATGATATTTGGATTTATAATCATAAATCGTAGTCAACGTTTTGAAGTTGCGAGCATCTCAGCAGCTTTCTTTTTGTGCAGTCCAATGATTAAGCATAATAGCTGTTATAAATTTTTAAATAAATTTTAGGACGACATTTTATGCGCTCTTTCTATGTTTTCTTACATGTGAAATTGGCTGTAAGAAATTTAATAAAATTCTATAATAGTTTTATGTGACTCTATCAAAGTATTAAGAGAATCTATCAAAGTTTTATAAATTTTTCTAAATGTCTAGAACTGCTGCGTATATCAACTCTATCACCAAGATCTTCACAACCTACCGGGATGCCGGTCTCTCATTCTAATAGCGCTCTCGGCACGTTATACAACATCTAACGCAAGATAGCACGTTATACAAATGATGTCGCAAAATGATAGAACGTTATACAAGATCTGAGCAAGACACGTAATACAAGATCTGATTTCCAGATTTACAATTTATTTTATGTAATAAAATTTTTTTAAGTGTTGAATAAAATGGTTGCTGTTTTATTGTTTTCTTTCTTTGTATATGCAAGATGAGATTAAAGATGAAAAAACTATTATTATGTTGCAAACGACACCTTGAAAATAATTTATCATGGAGGTTGTTGTAATTTGTGTGTTTTGTGGAATTTTTATTTAAATGCATGTTTGTTGATGGGTTAAACATTGTTTTTATTAATTTCTTCAGTTATTTAAATGGAAACGAGTTTTTTTTTGTAAAGGTTGATATTAATGATACATAGTTCAAATCACCAAAAAAAGGTAAATGAAGACTATCACATTTAGAGCTGATAGTGCTGGTTATCGTTTTGATGCTTTTTTAAACTTCGCAATATTTTTTATTCTATCCGAGTCAATATTCCGAGTATTTAAAGCTAATGTTTGAATAAACCATTGTAACTTTACAGAACTTTTCAGATTGTTTTGGAACCTCTTAAAAACGAACCAACTGATTGCACATCAGATAAGAACCAAAATCTTAAAAGAAACCTCCAAAATAAGGAAAAACCAAATTCGTGGATAAATTTTCAAACTATTTAGATAATGTATAAGTGAATGCTTGACCGAGTTTGCAATGATAACCAGAAAACGATGAATATGAAGACGACAATATAGAAAACTTTGAAAATTAAATCTAAAAAATGCAGTTCATGTCTGTATAAAAATGAAATAATAATGTTTGCACAATTGTTTTCTAGTTCGACATACAGTAAAAAAGAAAAAAATGTATTGATTATTCAAATTATAAACTTATTTTGTACTCGGTATTTTTTGTTGAGTAATTGGGCCGCAAAGGTGTCCTCTATCTGAAAAATAGTTTTTTTAAGAGAGGCGGTATTTAAACAAAAGGAATGTCCGGTTCACAACGTTACACTTCTAAACTGTAGAAGATATCTTCATTTTTCTAGATTAAAATGGGGTTAATTCTGACAATTTTCATCCATCCGAACGATACAGAAACATTCAAGAGAATATTTTGATTCATGTTTCATAAGAAGATATTGCTCCTTGGTTGTTTATGTTGAATGCCGCAAACTGTGTATATGGCCAATCAAACACGCCTTTCAAGTTTTCAATCCAATACTAATGTCGTCTTTCTATTCCACAGTTTTATAAGTCCTGCTGTATTTTATTGAGTGAAGACATACCTCCCAAAATGCGATTCAAAGAATTTGATCGGGAGTTTGCTTTCATTCGTTTCATTCTTTGTCCTAAAAACTTTCTTTTATTTTTTTCCTCCATTTCCTCCATTTCCATACAAATATTATAAAACATCCGTAACATTTAATAATAATAAAGCTAGAAACATAGAAGTTTGAAGATTTTTCGGTTTTAAATTTTTTATTTTCAAAAATATTCGAATCGAAATTTTTAGAGGACAAATTTTAAAAACCTTCTCTGGGGTTACAATTGTGTAGTCAAGTTATTTTTTTTCGTTTGAAAACCAAACCAACTTACAAACTGCAAACTTTCCAATTATCTAGTTTTACTTAGTGTCTACAGGGGCCTATACAGGAAGTATTTCACTGGTGCAGGGGGGGGGGCTCAATTATTTTTAAAATTGTCAAGAACCAGTAGAAATACCCTCCACCCCCCCCCGTAACCAAATTTTTCCTTTAATCACCCAATATTCTGGTTTCCCAATACAAATTTCATGGCAAATTTTTTCGAAATGGTTAAATGTAATTATAGTATGGAAAAAATGTACCTTGTGCAGCATCTTATAGCTCTTAAGTTCTTCTTTAGTTCTGCCATCACCTGTAAACAGAATACAAGATTTTTCAAAATTTATTTCCAACAAAATTCGATTTTTATTAGATTTAAAAAATCCACGATTTTTTTTAATCCACAATTTTTTTTGGTTATTGTTTTACTAGAGAAAATGTTTAAAATTGAAATAGAAGAAAGGCGCGAAGCGCAAAGCCTAGAAATGAATATTCTCCGAACTGTTCAAAAAGTTAAGATAAACAAACGTAATATAAAATAGAACTGACAAAAAAAAAACTAAGATGATAACGGACAATTGGGTGTTTTCATTAAACTAGTTGAGGTACGAGGTGACAAAGTCGTACAAGTATTTTCCTCTGTCTAGTTTCCAGTGGTTATGTTATCACCTGAGGGTTTAGTAAAACACTTAAGAAGAAAATGAAGACACCAGTGCTTGCATTCAGTATAACAAATATAAATTGCTGTGGAAGAGAAGAACCAAATAGGCCTAACGATAATAATATCTAAAGAAAACATTAAAACTATATCAGATCTGTAGGAAATCAAATTATTTAAATGTGTTACAATCTTTAAAAAAGGGTGAAATATAAAGGAATTAAGTCTTGGCCACAAACTCTGATTTTTTAATCCCTAAATATATCTGTGCAATAGATATATCAAACTCTGATTTTTAATCCCTAAATATATCTGTGCAATAGATATATCAAACTCTGATCCCTAAATATATCTGTGCAATAGATATATCAAACTCTGATTTTTAATCCCTAAATATATCTGTGCAATAGATATATCAAACTCTGATTTTTAATCCCTACATATATCTGTGCAATAGATATATCAAACTCTGATTTTTAATCCCTACATATATCTGTGCAAAAGATATATCAAACTCTGATTTTTAATGCCTACATATATCTGTGCAATAGATATATCAAACTCTGATTTTTTAATCCCTATATATATCTGTGCAATAGTTATATCAAACTTTGATTTCTGTTTAAACCAAAAAATCTTCTAAGTTTGAATATCAAAGGTTTAGACCAATCGGTTGCAAAGATATAGGGATTAGAAAATTTCAGTTTGTGACAAGACTCAATTCCTTTGTTCTCAGAAAAGTGCCTGTTTATTCTATTTGCCATACATCCTAGTATATAGCTTCTGCCAATCATGACTCTCCTAATTGGAGCTATACTGGAGAACCAAGTTACTAGCGTGCTTCTTTGTTCTTAGAAATCTAAAAACTTTTAAATCGTAGACCTTTCTTTAGTATTTAAAGTAGGATGAAAACAAAGAAGTGAATTCTAATTCAGTCGTCGTCGGTTGTATTTGTTTTTTTTGTTAAACCTTAGGTCTAACTAAATGATTCATGGTGGGGGTTGAAAAATGTTTATTGGTAAAAACTTGTTACGGAATATATAGGAGCGTTTTTACTGTGTAGCTAGTTTCTGTGGGGGAATTTAGGGAGCTTCTCAACTGCTGGAATTGATGAGTCTTCAGAAAACGGAGCTGTCTGGAGCAGAACCGTAGAAGGCTGCTTCTGAAGGGAGCTGCTAGAAGCTGCAGGTGTAGACGAACTTTCTGGTTCGGGACTTGGTCCGAAAATGATAACTCTATTCTGATTTTAGAATATCAATAAAATCCCCTTTTGATGGTACAGAGTTGGTTTAGAACTCCGGAGCTGCTCGAAGATTAGCTACAACTGATAATATCATCTTTCCAAGATTTCAACGTTAGGTTTAAGGCGTAACCTTAACCTTGAGTCTATACTTAAAAATACACAGTGCTCACAGGATGTTCACAAAAAATACAAACATATAAATACATTTTAACTATTCATAAAAGCACAAATATCAATTCTTAAAGAATCTGTTACATTCGTTTGTGAATTTTACAAAAAAGGAGTTTTAGTTTATGTAAACACCCAGCAGAGTTCCCATATACAGAAATAATTGATTCCACCCATGATCTGACATTCTTTGTTAAAAATATGCACTTTGAACTCCGTTACAATATATCAATTAATTGAAGACGACTTTTAACTTTAAATTTGATTTCCAAACAGCATAAACCAATAAGTAAGTAAACAAAGAGAATATGTCAATCAACATCTTCTCTTTGTTTACTTGTAAACGTGTAATTCGAAAAAGCTTGTAAAAAATCAAAACTTGAATAAAAAGTCGTCTTCATTGGATTGATATAAACCCCGAACACTGTAAATTACCAATACTCCAGGTTAGTCCAAGTATTACGGAGAGTAGGATTACATTCTTGAGCATTGAGAGAAGCCTTACTCTACTCTCCTCATTACTGAAATTATAATTTGGCCGATATTCAAAATATTCTAGAAATTAATTGATTTAAGCAATTTTAATGAAGAAGTAACCAATCAATTAAACCGAAAGAGAAGCTTCTGGACATCTGGATTCTACATGGATTCAATAGTGAATGTCTAGGGAAACGTTACGCGTGCACTTACTTATTCTTGTACCAGCCGGTCTAGCCAACCCAGTGCATAGTGGACAAACATCGTTTTAAACAAAATGTAAGCCTAAATTTCTTGCTTAAAACGAATTTGGTCCGCTATTCACTGTTTACACTAGACCGGCTGCTACAAGCAAATGTATCTTCTTGGGTACGAACCACGTACGAAGAGTAGACCAGTATATTCTTTAGCTAGTTCTGTGTTGATTGGACCGGTGCAATTGTATCAGTGTATTTTTTAAGGTTTACTATGAAGAAGCCACAAAGAATATTTATGAAGTTTGTTTAAGACATGACTTTGATTTAATCTCATGATTTTCTCTTGTGTTTGGGAATTGTGGTGATCATTGGTAGGATTTTAGATAGGGGTGGTCAACAGAAAATGTTCTTAGTTAAAAGAAATTGCTTATTTATTAGCCTGTCTCTTCCGTTAATTTATCTCTGTTTAAAAACGTTAAAAATTCCACTGCCAGCTTAAACCTGTATCTTGGAAAACCCAATCACCTGCCACCAACAAAAGTTTATTATTAATGCAAAACAAAATATACCTTCTTCTTCTAGGGTTATGAGAAACTTTAAGAGCAACAACAGTTACTACCGAGTTTATCAACAACATTAAACCTAAACATTTCAATTAAATCTTTTAAGGTAAATTTACAAATATCTTCACCTATTGAGATAAAAACAATTTGTCTGAGAAATCTATATAATCAAACAAGACATTCATATATATATGTTGCATATAGCCGGCCAAACAGCTGGACCGATTGGGCTGAAATTTTTCGAAATTTTTTTCTTTCAAAATTTTATATTTTATGATTTTTTTCCACGGGAAACGCCTGTCCCCTCAGCTAGTTGAGTATAATTCAAAACAAAAGCATAAAAATGCCCATTTCTCAATGAAAACATCCTTTCCCCAAAATAATTAAAATTATATAATCTGTTTCCACTATCCACCAATATAATTAAAATTATATAATCTTCATCCACTATCCACCAATATAATTAAGATTATATAATCTGTATCCACTAGCCACCAATATAATTAAGATTATAAAATCTGTATCCACTATCCACTAATATAATTAAGATTATATAATCTGTTTCCACTATCCACCTATATAATTAAGATTATATAATCTGTATCCACTATCCACCAATATAATTAAGATTATATAATCTGTATCCACTATCCACCAATATAATTAATTATAAATGAATGTGAATTTTCATCAACAAGTTGTTCTAAAACTCGAAAGACCAAAAACCAGTCAAAAAAATTAGTAATAGTAGGGATTTTAGACAAACATGACATACAATTAAAAAATATTTAAAGGTTCAATTTCTTTTGTTTAAAAGATTTGGTATATTTATTGTGTTTTAAAAGGAGAAGGGATTTTAGAAAATTTTAAACTTAAGAAAATGTTGATTTATATACGGTACTTTACTTAATAGAGGGGGTACCTATAATCATTGACAAAAATAGCGGAGTTTTTTTTTTACTTAAAATGCGAGCAAAAATTTATTAAAAAATTCAAGAGAAAAATTGTACAATGTCCACAAAAATATTCGTAATAAAAAGGTTATTTTCAATGTTTTTTCATCAAAAAGTAGTATTTGAATACCAGGAGCTAGGAACCCGAACGGAGACCGGAACTTGAAGAATATACTATTCAAGAACATGCACCTTTTATACTCAAATAATTTGTGACAATGATTTCAACGATAAAAATATGCAAAAAAAATAGCTTCACAAATCACCTTAAAGAAACAAATTTCTGCAAAGAATATAGAGCTAGAATTGTTTTAGGTTTTTAAGTTTCTTCTAAGATATGCATGGCAGTTTTTAAATCAAAACCAAAAATCTTTAAAAAAAATACTAACAAAGTCTTCTTACCCATAAAAGAAGGTATTCCGTAACCTACAAGGTAGAACTTCATCATTGGTATTGACTTTGGAAGAAAAACTTGAAATAGGCAAATGTAGATCAGGTACCCTCCAATAACTAAATTATTTGAATTAGAGAATTTTTACAGTTTTGATTTTTGAAAAGGTTGATGAAGGGCTCTGTGATTTGGTAGGAACCCAAAAGTGTAGTTCAATTTACCTGTCCAAGCAAAGACCGTGAGCCAGAAAAAATGAATTACTCCACCAAACACCTGGCATAAAGTGCACGAAACATTTTTGTATCCACCTGGAAATTAAGTTTTAAAAATTTTAGATGAATGCAAATGGAAATATAATTGTACCTGTAAGAAGCATAAAACACATCTGAGCTATAAAGAGACAATAGTTTCTATGCCTTTCAACGCTTCGCCTAAGTGGGCTTCTCTCAACAGACCTTTGATCAAGGGTGTAATGCAAGGAAAGTTAATTGTGGTCGTGTATACTCTGCGTACATATTGAAATCAGTTCTCTTTGGGCAGAATTTGTAAACAAGAATAGATGCATCAGTGTTCGTTTAGTATCCGAGGAGGTTAAAAGTATTGAAATTTGATAATTTTGATAATTCACATAATAGTTTCCTATGACCAGAATATTTCATTGATTTTTTTATGTGAAAGATGGATCCCAAGTCAGGCTTTGTCATCCGTCTTGTGTTTACATTACCGCCCAGAGAGAGTACACTGCAGTACAAAAAATGTTTACACTTCTGAAATAACTTTCCTTGCATTACATCCTTGCCTTTGATAATGAGTTAAATCTTTAAGGTATACTTAAAGTTAAAATTTAAAACATGAGGATTAACTGTGCTGGAAACATTGATATGAGCGGAACAAGTTGTGTTCTCTTGAAAGAGTTAATCTCTTTCAGATCTATTCTTCATGACTTTTCTTTGTCAGAGTTTTGTTATACAATAAAACCAAAAACTCCAAAGGCTAAGATTATAAAGCTGAACCCTATCAACCAATGACTTTCCTACATATGACTCAATGTATGGAAAGGATTTCTGCAATGACATACAAACAAAATCTAGTGTGTCACTAATAGACCCTGTCAGTTAATCAAATTGGGTACACTACAAATGAATCTAGCTGAGTATTGTCTTCCAGTATATTTCAGATAAAGAAACAAACCTTTGAACTGTAAGAATGACTTCCGTCAGAAACAAACAAAAGCAGGAAAGTAAGAGCAGGACAGTGGAGATCAGATTCAAAACTATAATTATTTGATAATATCAAAACTACCATAACCTCCTCAACAAATTTGGAAAAATAAAATTTTACATGGATTGTCTGTGGGAGCATGTTGTTTCCAGTCCATCATGATTCCAAAGTTTGTTAAATGATTGCAAATGCACACTGTAGTTTTCAGGGTAGAAGAAACATTGTCAAACTGAACAATAATATTTACAATGGAAATAATTATCTAATCTATGGAGGATTTAAATTTGTTTAAGGAGTTGGTCAATGGTCACTCAGCATCAAAGAAATAAAGCTTTGAAACTGCCTCCTTTATCATTTTACACTAGTATTCTCTTCAAATAAACATTCAATTCAAGTTTTTTTTTCAAACTATCATTAATCACAAAAAATGTTTTTAAATGAACCAATTTCTTATCCTTTGCCGTACATCAGGGACAAGGCAAATAGAGGTTTGAAATGAGAAACTGTGGTTCTACATAGAAATATTATATAAATAGCAATCTAATACATACATAACTATCAAACTTATGTTAAAAATATCAATATTAGATTAATAATAAAGATGGTTGATCTGTACACAATACAGGGACAGAGAAATAGTATGTTTAGAATTTTATTCAAAAAAAACTAAACACTGGCAGTTTCAAAGCTTTATTTCTTCGCCCCCGATGGTCAGAAATATAAATGTAATATATCAAACAGAAATCAAAAGTTTGAAATCTATATATAAATTTGGCTTGTCTGTTTGTCTGTCTGTTTGTATCCAATAAACGTCAAAACGGCTGAACCGATCGGGCCCAAATTTTTTGTGGGACATCTAGGGACCCCAGGGAAGGTTTATGAATGATTGAAATTTTAAAAATTTGTGTTTTAGAGGTTTTTAATTTTGTAAAAAAATTAAAATTTTTGAAAATCCGCAAATTTTTTTTTTAAAAATCCGCAAAACTTTTTTCATCTTTGTTTTGAAATGTAAACAAAAAGAACATGTTCACAATTTAAATAGAAGATGGGCGCGAAGCGCCCTAAAAGCCTAGAAAGAAGGGCGCGAAGCGCCTTGAATTTCTAGTGTTTTTATAAATAATAACTTTTTTAGAGAAGATTGCTAAAAATTAATTTTTGAAATGTCCTATTTCAACGCCCTGACAGATTTACAACACAATAAAGTAAATCATTTGATCATTTTGGAACCCGAGTTTGAACACATTATATTCAATAAATGAAAATTCAAAGAGATATACCCCTTGTAAAACTTTAAAGTCCTATTTCTACGCCCCTGAAGTCCCGAAATAGACCAAAACAACATAAATCTATTAGTTTTGGTCTAAAATAAAATAGTTTGAAATATCATTTCAGTTGCATCATTTTTTTCGAATATAGTTCCCTGTTGACCCCCCTTTTTTTGATCTCCAGTTTACGCCTCTGCAGTTTTTAAGGTACATCCATGCTGTAAAATTGCATATACAAGACAGACTTTAGAAAAACTAGATGGCAAAATAATGATAAAGAAGGCAGATATCCCTTGCAAAACTTTGAAGTCCCATTTCTACGCCCTATAGTCCCGAAATAGACCAAAAAATATAAATCTATTAGTTTTGGTCCAAATTAAAATAGTTTGAAATATCATTTTATTTGAATCAGTATTTCCAAAAATAGCACCCTATCGACCCCCTTTTTTTCATTTTTCAACAGTTTGTGCAACTGCAGTTTTCAAGGTACATCCCGGCCAGAACACCATTCAGGGATATACAGGACATACTTAAGAAAAACTAGATGTAAAAATAATGATTTGTAATGAAGCTCTTTGGTGCTGACTGACCAACTCCTTTTCTCTTTTGCATCGAAAGGCTATAATTGGTTTTACACAGAAAGCTAAAAAGGACTCTATAAAGGCAGGGGAAAGGCAAGTCATATAATTCAAGATTTTATGCATCAAATAATTTCATGTCCAATATTTAAAGGTATAGGCCCAAGAATAGTTTGTCATATTTATTGTCACTTTCATGCATTTTTCCCTCAGTACAGTTTAAGGCTACATTATGGTAAGGTTTCTTATTAAGAATGACTCACCATACATCCTGATGAAGACCATGAACTAGATGTTACATTCCAAAATGCACAGGTAGGTTGGCCAGAAGTAAAAGTACATATCTCTTCCTCCTGCAATATATTTAGAGTAGAGGGTGTGATATATGTGACATATATGGTATTTTCTAACCTTGCTTGTTTCATTCCAAACCTTGCAGACAGGAGCACCAGGAGCAAACAGACAATTTTCAAGTTGGACTTGGTACTTTAACATTTTGAGTTAGATAGTTGAAAACAGCTAAATGTGAATATTAGTTCTTACCGAATATGTAGTATGAATCAAGAAATATATAGACCAGGAACCGCCATATCTGATGCGTCAAATTTGTGTACTGCAGTGGGAGGCGATCAAAACAAAGAATTCAGGGGCAAAACATCAATTATGAGGGGAGGTGAAATAAAGTATATTGCTATCGTAGACACGAATACTGATTATAAAACGAAAGACTATTTGTTACTTGAGAGTATATGCTTTAAAGACAGGAGAGGGAAATGATAATATCCAAGATTATATTCAAATTGTGAAACTTTATATGGTAAAATTCGGATGTTTTAATAAAAGCAAAAACAATTCCTCACTCCATGGGAATCAATGCAAAGAGGAACTGTAGACATATTTCAATGCGTAACAGGACTGCACAGTGCACACATAATTGTGTCCCTAATATATAAAGATGCATGCCTGATTAACTACGGTACCTTTAAAATTTTTCGGGAAATGCCCATTTAATATTAGTCATTAAGAAATAAAACCTTTCAACATAAAATTCGAGAAAAATGTTATCCATATCATAA